TAACCAATCATAGCACAATAGGGAGGGACTTGTCGAAACTCTAGCAGGGGAAAAAAACACGATTCAAGTAAATGAGACAAGAAGAAAGAGCTGTAAGTGACAGGAGGTGGGGCTGGGTGAGCACTGCAGCGGTGTGTGTATCAGCTTGCTGTTGGGGAGAAGAGAAGCATATTTTCAGGATTGATACTGTGGAAAATTAATATTAAAACCGTTTGAAATATTCAGAATCAATTTGTATCAAAAAATTTAGATTTTTGACCATACTAGCGCCAATATTCAGTCAAAGTCATAGCGCCACCTACTGGCAACAGGAATATCGACGCTTCGTCATTAAACAGGACGTTGTTATAACTTCAACGTACATGCTCAGATCTCTACCAAACCTGTTTGATAAGAGTCTTGCCCTGAACACACCTATGTGACATTAATCATGCAATGTCATAGTACCACCTATTGGCAACAGGAAGCAAGTATGTAATAAAAACAATTACATTACAAAAACGAAAATAAACACCATTACAAGCAAGTGCAGTAACAGAATCATGTATACATACAGAGCTGTGGCCATGCAGGTTCTGTACACATTTAGAGTAGATGCTGCCAACTTTAGTAAATTGTCAGTTTTAATCAAAATAGGGGGTGAGCTACAAGGAGCTTGACTCCCCTGCGATAGACATGAGTGTGTGGGTGGTTGGATGGGTCAGACACTGGGCTTACACCTAGGAGACTGGTGTTCATTTCCCTGGTGAAACAAATAACACTGATTCTGTTATGGTATGGACAGATAGGACCCAAACGCAGCGCTCAGGATAGACAGGTTTTATTGGGGAAAAAAGGGGCTGAGGTACTGGAGTTGAGGGAGAGGTGGATGCCGGGGAAACACAGGCACGGGGAACCGAGGAGACTGAGACCAGAGAGCCGGGGGACACTGGGGCCGAGGAAGACAGGAGGCACGGGAGAACTGGGAGGACGCCGTGGGGGGAGTCCAAAGATAGAGGGCAGGTGAGCGTGCCCAGCCGACTTGGCAGAGGATGAAGGTGAGTGAACCTGGGGAGAGACAGACAGACAAACAGGATTAGTGACTGAGGAAAAACCAAGGACAGGGAAACAGATCACGCAGATTAAATAAGGGCTCGAAGGATCAAGAGGCACCGGGTTAGGAGCTACAACGATAAAGCAGGGGTTGACTGGAGAATCGGGGTAGAAGTACTGGCAGAGATGGAGTTGATTGCTGGCAGGTGTGGCAGGCAGAGGAGGTGGCTGACGAGGTGCAGGTGCGGGTCGTTGGCTTGGCTCAGGAGCAGAGGGAGAGAGAGAGAGAGAGAGCGCACACACAGGGAGGCAGGCAGAGTACAGAGAAAACCAGAGAAAAAACAGAATCACATACAAAAGAGAAAACCAGGACACTCACCGTCAGCCCGGCTGCCACCACAACAGGGCCCCCTCCTCAACGGACACCTCCCGGCGGACCTCCCATTTGGCTGGGCAGGGCTTGGCAGAAGTCCGTCAGGGGGAGGAAATCGCACTGGGGTCCGGCTGGTGGGGGTCCAGGGTCCAAAACTAAACGGGACACAGAAGCTTCAGAGAGGGGGACAGGGCTGGGAAGGGTCAGGGGGACGGGCAGGGCAGAACCGAGGGAATAGGGCCAGAGAGGGTGCCTGAGGGCAGGGCAGAGGGACCAGGGAGTTCAGGCAGGCGTCCCGAGAGCGGAGCAAGGGAACTAGGGAGTTCAGGGGGCAGCCCAGGGGCAAAAGCAGGGGAACAAGGGAACTCAAGCGGGTGGCCCGATGGTGGGACCGAGATGGGGCAAGTAGCCTCGGACGGACATCCCAGGGGCAGGATAGAAAGGGAACATGAGACCTCAGGAGGACGGCTCGGAGGCAGGGCAAAGAGGGAACAAGGGTCCTGAGGCGGGCTTTCCAGGGGCAGGGTGGAGAGGGAACATGAGACCTGAGGCGGACTTCCCAGGGGCAGGGCGGAGAGGGAACATGAGACCTCAGGAGGACGGCTCGGAGGCAGGGCAAAGAGGGAACAAGGGTCCTGAGGCGGGCTTCCCATGCGCAGGGTGGAGAGGGAACATGAGACCTGAGGTGGACGGCCCGGAGGCTGGGCAGAGAGGGAACCGGGAAGGTCAGGAGGTCAAGAACCTGAGCTGAGGTCCACAGGGGGCCAAGCCGAGGGTCGACGGGGAGGGCCGTAGGCTCCAGGAGGCCGATGGAGAATTGGTAACCGGCTCTAGTGGTAACCGGAGGTCGGGCTAAGGGGCGACTAGGATGAGGGCGAGACCTCTCCGGAGGCCGGGGAGCCTGGCGAGACCTCTCCGGAGTCCAGGGGGTTGGGCTGAAGGCCGGCAGCGAGACAGCAGCATGGGGAATCAGTAGTGATGTGTCCCTCCGTATCGAGGCTTCGAAGCGCATGTCGAGTAATCCAGGGTGATTTTTGTGAAGCGCGTATTGAGGCTTGTGTTGGTGACGTATGTGGTGACGTTCGAAGCCTCGCGAGCCGGCCGTACCACTTGACTGATTCAGGAAATGGTTCGTGGGTTTGGTGTGTGATTCCAAAAAGGAGCAGCAAAATACAATGGACGCTCACTAACATTTTCTGGACTTTTTAATTTTATTTCAGATTTTAATTGAACACAATTAGATTGTATCTACAGATAATTTTATCAAAAATTGTGATGAAACAGAACATTTTTTGTACAGTTAGACTTGCGGTAGCTAGAAGATTTTTTTTGACATAGTGGTTTTTGTAAGAATAAAACTGGGGCATCTTACCCCATATTACCCTAATAATAATGTTCTAAAGCAGGTAAAATCATCTCCAAAAGAAGAAACCGCCTGAAGCCCAGCATTGTGGAAAAATAAAAATGAATAAATGTTGTCTCTTTTAAATGTTATCTAAAGTCACAAACCAAACAACACATTCACATCATAACCCTCTCTGTTGTTTCCACATTCCCTTTGACCCTATCATTGTATCCTAAAGACAGACACCATATTAATAAGTTTATCATTTATGTATCGGCATGACAAACAACATACATGAGTTTATTCAGTTCAAAGCTTCACTCACAAAAGCCATGGCGCTATTATAATCACTCTGCCTGTTTTACATTTATTGTCCACTAGATGGCACAGTAAAGCAAATGAAGCACCATGAAGCTTCGGACCATGAGTGAATCAATTGTATGGAAAGCTTCAATGCTTCATGAAGCTTCATCTCACCATCACTAGGAACCAGGGTCCCGTCCCTGGTTCCTGCTGGGCTGAGGGCCTTGGTGCGAGGAGCAGGGGTTGGACGGACCACCGACGGGGCTGATGTCGATCGATCCGCCAACAGGGCACGAGGGGCAGGAGTCGGCCGCACCACCGGCGGAATTGAGGCCAGTCGGTCCGCCAACAGGGCACGAGGAGCAGGGGTTGGCGGGACCACCGACGGGGCTGACGTCGGTCGGTCCCCCAACATGGTATGGGGGCTAGTGGCCCTAAGGGGCCAGGGATCAAGAGGGAGAGGCTGGAGGCTAGCGGCGCTAGCAGACTGGGGATCAGGACCAGACTGGGGGCTGGCCGGCCGGGGATCAGGAGGGACAGGCTGGAGGCTAGCGGCGCTAGCAGGCTACGGCACAGGCTGGGGGCCAACGGTGCTAGCGGGCTGGGGATCAGGACCAGACTGGGGGCTAGCCGGCTGGGGATCAGGAGGGACAAGCTGGAGGCTAGCGGCGCTAGCAGGCCAAGGGACAGGCTGGGGGCTAGTGGCACTAGCAGGCCGGGGATCAGGAAGGACAGGCTGGGGGCTCGCAGGCCCCATGCTAAGCCCAGCATGAGGAGCACTGGGGGAATTCAGAGCCAATAGCAAGAATCCTTTGAGGCGACCCACCTCCCAAACCAGCCCAGCCATACCAGGAGCACTCAGTAGGCACGGTTGTTGGCCCAGAGCCTTCTCAAAGCGGGCTAGCACGTCCAGCCTCTCGTGCCAACCCTCAGCCCTTAAGTCCCAAAGGAGATTGTCCATGATGGTCCTCACCTGGCACAGGTCCTCTGGGGAAGGGCTAATGTCCGCCGGGTCCCTCTCCGGTCCAATGATCGCAGAGCGCAGGCCGAGATAACTGCCCAGATGCAGGGACATGCTCGGGGACTCCTTCGCAGGCGGAGGGGATAAGGCGTGGAGGAAGCTAGCATCCGAAGGGGGGATAAGAGCCCTCAAACGAGCTTCCGCTACCAAAAACTGTCGGGCCCTGGCAAGAAAAGCCTCCCTAAGGCTGTCGCTGATGGCTCTCTCCCACAGGCCCCTCAGCTTAAGGAAGGCTAGGAGCCTGTCCACAAACTCGGTGGAGTCAGCGAGGGGGGGTGAGGGCGAGTGTGCTGGGTCCATGTTGGCTTGATCGTTCTGTTATGGTATGGACAGATAGGACCCAAACGCAGCGCTCAAGATAGACAGGTTTTATTGAGGGAAAAAAGGGGTTGAGGGACTGGAGTTGAGGGAGAGGTGGATGCCGGGGAAACACAGGCACGGGGAACCGAGGAGACTGAGACCAGAGAGCCGGGGGACACTGGAGCCGAGGAAGAGAGGAGGCACGGGAGAACTGGGAGGACGCCGTGGGGGGAGTCCAAAGGGAGAGGGCAGGTGAGCGAGCCCAGCCGACTTGGCAGAGGATGAAGGTGAGTGAACTTGGGGAGAGACAGACAGACAAACAGGATTAGTGACTGAGGAAAAAACAAGGACAGGGAAACAGATCACGCAGGTTAAATAAGGGCTCGAAGGATCAAGAGGCACCGGGTTAGGAGCTGCAACGATCAAGCAGGGGTTAACTGGAGAACCGGGGTAGAAGTACTGGCAGAGATGGAGTTGATTGCTGGCAGGTGTGGCAGGCAGAGGAGGTGGCTGACGAGGTGCAGGTGCGGGTCGTTGGCTGGGCTCAGGAGCAGAGGGAGAGAGAGAGAAGGAGCACACACACAGGGAGGCAGGCAGAAAACCAGGGAAAAAACAGAATCGCATACAAAAAGAGAGAAAACCAGGACACTCACCGTCAGCCCGGCTGCCACCACAACAGATTCTTTTTAACTTACCGTATGCTACGTAACTTTGGTAACTTTGGTAAGTAATATTATTTAATGTACGTTACTTACATAGCTTATTTAACAGATGTACTTATTTTAACCCTAACCATGATCTTTTCTTAAACCTAACCAAACTGTGACCATTTCACTTAATGTTAATCACATATTTTATTTTGAAAGTCTAACCTGAAGTTGCGTGTTTAATATTGCTAACTTGACCGGACATTGCAAATTTGTAATTGCTAACTTGACCGCGGGGCCCTAGATGTCTAAAAACCACGCTGAAGGTGTGCCCAGTACCTGTCTTTGCCACTCCTAAGAATATACTGTAAGTCAGTTCCCCTCTCCCCATTAGAAATACCATGTTGCCTGTTGTGGATAGAGAGATACGAAGAGAAAAGTTAGATGAGTTAGATGGGGACTTTTGTTTGAGTCGCACACCGTAGGCTACAACCTACAGGAGGTTAACTCCGACTTTCGTTCATTATGAAAAGATGAATGCGTGTTTGTTTGCTTGCCAAACTTGTGGTGGTAACATAATAATTTACGTCCTGCTGGCTGACATCATGTTAATTATTAATGTTGGCTGTAAACAGATTACATGTTTTATTGTTGATCATGTAACGTTACAGTTTTATTTAACATTAGTTAACCTTACACTGGGTTTGAGAGTCTGGGGGTGTGTTGACTTACAGTAGTTAATAGGCTGTCATTTATTGCATTGCACATTACATGGTTGTGCTCTATAAGTGAAAAACAGGTTACAGTTACAGAATTCCTTATAACTATGCAGTTTTATAAGCAGCCAGGATTGAACGCAGCAGGTGATACAACATTCAACCGCAAGAGACTTGAGACTTGACTCAGACTCTAGCTCAGAGACTTGTGAGCATCTCTGCCACCAGCATAACTGCCGCCACTGATATAAATGTCTATATGTTCAGTAATCAACTGCCAAAGTTTAGTAAAGTTCCAAAAACAGAAGATTCCTCATCTTTTGAAGAGATTTTCACTGACCACATCCAGACGAAGTTGCCTAGCTTACTTCAGAGAGCCTGGGCATGACAATATTGATAAGGGTAGTTTGTTGTAAACTGATTTCAGTGACCAAAGGTGCATGTGTGCACAGGTTGCTGTTAAAACCTGAATCTACTGGTACATCAAAGCTCAAATGTCCATCAATCTGAATACATGTTACTGAAATTTCTTTGGAATTGTAACTCATTTACAGTAAATGAATGCAATGGAGTTATTTGAATAGAAAGGATCGTATCCTTTGGATTTGGATTCATTAAGTTGTGTTGAAATATTGGTTACATTCAACACTTCATATCTGCAAGGCAGCTTCTACGACTGCGTTGACTAATGGTGCCATTAGGTGTTATGGGAAGCTATAACTGTGTGTCATTGGTATACCAGTGAATCTTTATGCATGTAAATGGAGAATGAAATGGGGCCGAAAAATTAACCCTGCGGGACCCCCAAAATAATGGTCTTCTATGGATAAATTGCCTATGGTGACTGAAAATGCCTTATCAGATGCCTTATAAGTTTTAAACCATTGAAAACCCCAGCTCATCACAGTTATTTACAGTAAGACATCTGGGATGTATCTTTTTAGTGCTAAAGTTAAACAGTCACAAAAATATGTCATTTATTAATCAGTTATGCTGAGTAGAGTATAATAGATCTATGCTGAATTTTGTTTTCTTGTATACAAAACAAAATACAACCAATTTGAATACTGAGAATTATGAAATTGAAAAATGAGTTAAAAAAACAGATAGAGTAGGAGGAGATTATGAGGGGGGGGAAAAAAGGAGATAGCAAAGTAAAGGGGTGAAAGACGCTCAGAGAGAGACAGAGATAGAAGGAGAGATGTGGATAAAGCCAGAAGGTGGAGGAGGAGAAGAGACGAGTTAAGTTGGTCATTAGTGATGCGGCGTGTTGAGCCCACTCTTACATGCGTTCCACAAGGTTAACGATAAGAGCCCCTCAGTAGCTGAAATGCTCAAGTAGCTTTTATCGTATCATAATAATGAATCAAAGATAAAATAAAATAAATGAACTCCAAAAGGCAAGCAAGTAAAATAAAATGTATGTGCAGGCAGCAACCCAAACAGAAAGAGAGAGAGAGAAATTGTGGAAAGAGAGAAGAAGGGAAAAAAAGAATAAAAATCTTGCTCTCTTTCAGCTAATATCTTCTTATGTCATCTGGTTGAAAAATATTTGCCTGCAGGTCAGGGCTCCCCCTGTTAGAAAAAGGCTTCTTAAAACGCTTCACGGCTCTCTGCTACATTAAATATCTGGTCTCTGCATCCCATTTACTGCTGGTAGCTATTATGGGAGAGAGAGAAAGACAGAGAGGGAGAAAGAAAGAGATAAAAAAGGAGGGGTTAGGGAAGCAAGTGAGGTTGACAGAGCTAGATGAAATAAGAGTATAAGAAAAAATGGAGACTTGAAGGGATGGGGAGACAACAAGAAAGAGGGATGTCTGAAACAAAAAAAAAGAAAACAGGAATTCGTTACAGTAAAGATGAGCAGAGGCTGATTATTTAAAACACAATTTTAAGAATCAGAGAAAGAAAGGGTAATAGGATGACAAAGCCTCTGTTGATTTGTTTTCTATTTATGCTTGTTTATGATTTTTTTGTATATCTTCTTTTTAATGCTGTACACAGTATGTCTTACATCAGTGTGTGTATGTGTTTGTGTGTGTGTGTTCAGTGCCCTTGGCAAGAGCAGGAGATCTGGTCATTCAGAATGGACAGTAGTTAGCCACCCACCGGAGCAAGCTGTTACCACTTCCTTTTCCCTTTTCCTCCTCCTGTCCTTCCCCTTTTCCACCTTTGCTCACTCTTTCCATTTATTATTCACTGTACTCTTTCATTTTATTTTACATGAAGACAATACAGTTAATAAAGACTGATGGACAAATGAGCATTTAGAGAATAAATGATAAACATGCTTGAAAACCACAACTCTAGTATCCTTTAAGTCACTAAAATGCATAAAGCACTTGAAAGTTGTAACCAAGGGCATAGGATTGGGGGGAGGGGTGGGTTTAGGGTAGGAGTATACTGGGCCCTCATGGGAGGAGGGCCCACAGAGATACTACAATGAATAGGCATGGATGTGGGGATGAGCCTATCGAGAATGCCTATAACACAGGGTCCAGAATTTTGTGCTATGCCCCTGGCTGTAATAAAAGTGACATGTGTCATGTACATTTCTTGGCCCCTTCTTTGTTGTGCAAACATTTATGCATTTGTTTTCAGGATAACTCCAGTTTAAGACCAGTGGAGTTTGATAGAAAAAACATGCAATCAGTGAAGTTTCGGTGTTGGAGTGGGAAAGACAATTCCGCTGTTGTAGACGAGTCTTTAGAAGGTTATGTTTTGTTGCTCTATGCTGAGGGACAGTCACCTTGTTTAAATTTCCCTCCTGTGCTCCTGACCTTGTACGGACCGTCCCAGTTGCTATCAATCATGTTTGATGTTTTTGTCCTCTAGGTTGACTGTTTGAACATGAATGGATGAGCGAGTTTGGTGTGGAGAACATGACTGAGTCCTGACCCCAACCCGACAGAACACCTTTGGGATAAATTAGAGAAATTCCCTTGAACACACTCCTAAACCTTGTGGAAAGGTTCCCTTCCCAGAACAGTTGAAGCTGTAATAGCTGCAAAGGATGGGCCAACTCCATATTAAACCCTAAAGGTAGGTGACCCAAAATGTTTGGCAATATAGTGTATATAAGTAGAGTGTTGAGGGAAACTAGCATTTTGCTCTGCAAACTGATCTTATAAATGATGTGTTTATTGTTGGTACCACACGCATATTGGAAAACAACACAGTGTGTATAAAGATCAGAGACAAAAGACAGGTGTCAAAACTGGAAGCCTGGTTTTAATTGATATTGCTCTACTGTAATAATCCTGAAAGGCATAGTCTGGAGTAACACATGTAATGTTTCAACCCATAGTAGTTTAAGTTACAGAATCATAGGTCTCTCTTTTTGCATTGAACAATATATACAATGTGAAATAAATACATTTACACAAATGGACATTATTGTTGGAGCACACTTGTATGATACACGTCACAAAAATATACAGATTATTGTTTTTTTTTCATTTACTGATGTGAAGCACATCTAAAATCTACAGACATGTTTTAATTACACTACAGGGTCTTCTCTCGTACACAACTCTTCTCCAGCTCATTAAATTTCCTTTGTATCCAAATGTGTCATCTTTCTCTCTCCCTTGAATATTTTCTTCACATTTGCAAATTCAGACTGCAGGGTTAACTGCAGCACAAGTGGCAGTTACATTTGGGGATTAAATACAACTAAATGACTACACACTGTAGAGCTGTAAATAGACACAGTTTGGCCTTAGCAGATTTCAGGGGCAACCATTGTTGTCTAAGTAACCTTCTGTCCCAGCTAAATTATTGTTATACAGAGTATTCGCAGCTAAAGGATCTGAGTTCCAGATGAGGGCAACAACATGGTGGCCAAAGTGCAACCAGGTTAAACTCTTTTTATCAGTGGCTCTGCAAAAACCCAGACAGTCCTTCCAACGCTCCTCACAGAAAATACCAGTTTGGTTTGTTGTCATTTATACGGTTTTAACACTAATTTCAGGATAATTTTTATAGCTACACAACAGCATTTGGGTGTGTAACCCAACAAAAACAAGTGCAAATCTTGTCTCGTCATTGTACAGTCATTAAAATATTGCTTTTTAACTAAAAAAGCAAGTTGTGTCAAAACCTGTGAAAGCATCACACAATCTCCCTCCAGATTTTAACTGGTAGATTTGTTCTCTTTTAGCCATCTGAAGTACAAAAACAACAGCAGCAGCAGCAGACCTGCTTTTATTCGGTGATCAAGATGGCAGCATTTTTGGCAGGACCCAACTCACCATCTTTTTCAGAGAATTACTTGAATTTGACATTTAACTCAATTTTAAACCATGGCGATTCAACTCAGGGAGATGTGTAACATCTTTCATTGTGTTGAATTGTTCAGAAGTACACAGCATTGGTTTGACAACTGACAAATAAATAAAAAAACTAACAGAAGAGAAACAATAGTAAGAAAAGAGCACCTTTCTTTCATATGTTCTTTGTAGACTCATGTACAGCAGACAAGAAATACCATCCTCGGTGTGAGACGGTGTTTGAAGTTACAATCAAAATAGGAAATTCAACTCATCAGGGGCTTCACCTACAAATATCTCTTATGCATCTGTGAAATAATTTGTATGTATATTTTCTCTTTAAAAACATTATATATTAATGTTTAAGACCTTTGAATTTATGCTATTTGTAGCGCAGAATCTATAAATCTATAAATGTGTATAAAGAAGTACAATGAGTATAATAACAACTTCATTAGAGGACGTTGAGACTTGACCTTGTGGTTCTTAATTCTGGGGCCAAACCAGAAACATGTCCCACAGTATAATGAGTGCAGGAGAAACAGCATTTGCAAACTTAACATGTCAAGCTTTTTCTTCAACATTTCCCATTAACCCACAAAAACCTTTAGTCCTAACTGTCACCTGTCTGATCACTTTTTACTTTGTAAAGCAAGATATTTTCCAGGAAATGAGCTGAAAAACAGGACACAACAATGGGGAGGCGAGGGAGTTTTTCATCTTCATATTTTCTCTTTTTGACTGCTGAAACAGTAAAGATAATGACTGAGCCGATCTGTGTGGAAGGCAGTTATGTACAGCGGATTTATCAAAAAAAGAGTCACCTAAAGTTCTGACTTACTCAAATGTCCTTTTCATTTCATCGTTATTTAAACCTAAAGATATACAGTATATTGTTTATTCTATAGGAAAGTTACACAAATGATCCCTTTTTAAATACTTGTATGGTGTTTCTTCATTTAGATACTAAATATTTTAATTATTTATGTATAGTTTGGTAAAGATGAATACTGTAATTTTGATCTTGGTGTTTCTAGTTAAGTTTCTAGAAGAAGAGCCTTATATCCAGTCCGGTTCCTTGGGAGAGAATCCTGCACCCAGACCCCGAGCGGACTGATCCGACAGACAGACAACATGGCCTCTACTCTACTCTGTGTTGTCTAAAGAAGAAGCACACGGCACAAGAACGGGAATCACCACAAGAAAAAGTACACAGCAACTCCTTTAGAGGACTCAACAGAGGAGGAAAGGATCAAACAGAAAAAGGACTTTTAAACAAAAACAGAGAAAACAAACAAAGAAACAGGTTTTTTTTTCTTGACAGAAAAAAAAAAACAGTGAAACATGAAACACACATCGAGGCTGAACTACATTTTTTTTTCTTCTTTTTTTTCTCGATTTTGTTTCCAATAAAATGTCTTATGTTAGAATTATAATCTGTATAATTTACAATATACAATGTTTAAGAAGGCTGAGAAAATACCTCTTACTAATAATACTGATGTTGATACAGAGCGTGTGATGTTAGAGATCAGCTACACTTCAACTGCAGCACTCCTCAGCTATGACAAGTTGCCATTTTTTATTAGATTACACCGTCTAGATTACACATTATGGCATTTTTATTCGGGCTTAGAAATTACATAAACAATGATATAAAAAAATCCCTCGACTGCCTTCACCTGTTAAAGCTGTGATCGTTCAACTGTACAGTATGCAATTTTGCTATAACAATGAAATGAATGTTCCTTCACTTGACTGTAAGATGTCAGACAGGTTCCTGTAAGCTCAGCTTTCCATTTCTTGCCCCGAAACACTCCAATTTAATTAAACAGGCAACTTTTAGATGTTGTCACTACAACAAAATCAGCACGTAAAGTCCTTGTGGTTATGGGTTTAATTAATTTAGGTATATTTTCAAAACTGCTATTTGATGAGACCTCTGTATGTCCACTTAAAATGCAGGTTTCATTGTAGATTTTAAGTACAACACAAATTGGTAGACAGAAACTACAAAACAAAGGCATGAATATTAGAAAAACATCTTGTAATGGTTATACATTTTTATCAATTTAGATTTTATTATTTTTATTGGAAGCGCTGTTCATTTTTACCATTACAACCATTTCCTTTAAAATTGATAACAAGAGGTGGAAGAGTGAGCTAGCGTGAAACTGTCAGTGTTGTGCTTTTTTTATGGGGATGTTTTGTTTTTGCATTTAGTACCATTTCCCTCAGCACAGATCCAGATTAATTCAGGTTATTCTGATGGTCCCCGCACTCGACCACACGGCTGAAAAAACATACACCTCAAGCACAAAAACTGTGGATTAAACAGTGGATTTTAAACAAAGAACTCTCTCCTGTGCCAGCAAAAAGAGCCTGGTCACAAGAATGGTGCAAACATCAGAATCATGTGATAATTGCAAACTGTAAGTTGGATCTTTTAGTTTTTAGCTGCTTGTGTTACATCTTCAACCCTCACAACAACCATTCTTCACACAGCTTTTATGTGACATTAATATCTCATCCTCACATTTCTGGTCCATATTGGTTCCTGCCTAATTGTCTATAACAAAGGAAATATTGACTGTTATCTAATAGCTTATGGCAAGTTACACAGAGAGAAGGAGAAGCTACAAACTCTCCTCAAATCCCCATCCTCTCTCTCTCTCCCAAATTTAAGACTGGCACATTAATGTTAATATTGCAGACTTAGTCCATATGCACAAACCCCTCCTTTAAAAACCACTATTGCTCAGAGTTTTCTAAGATAAACGCTGATTTGTTAATACATTATTACTTGTTATATTTATATATATATGATAATCGCTGAAAGTGGTCAAGCTGATAGAAAAAAGGAAAGACATATTGATTGATTCAGTTTTAAGAAGACAATATTAATAACAAAAACAAAGCCGTGTTATATGTCATATACAGGATGACAGTTATTTACAACCCTAATACTGGTATCATTGCTAAGATTATTTTCAAGATAGAAATCAAGAATAAAATAAGGAGTTTGAAAGCAACAATAGTTGTTCTTCAGTCAGTTTTGTCAGCACACCTTTCCTTCTGGTTTGTATTGCGTTGAGTGACTGAAGCTCCCTCATCATCCCTCAATGAATCACAAAAACATCTCTGTACTGACGCAAGAGATGAGCTGGAATTTGTGAATGCAACGACGCAAGGAGGGTAGTACTGACGTGACACTTTGCAGTTTTGGGAGTTTGGGTTATTGAGCGGGGCTGGACTATCCATAATGGCACATTGACAGACTGAAACGTCTACTGACTTGTGTGTGGAGAGCAACAAACCTGGCCACTAAGCGGCTGGAAATGTTTCAAACAGATGTCCAATCACAAGCCGAATGTTTGACAGGATAAGTAGCGTCACGGAGACTGTGGACTGAGCTTACATCTACCAGCTGGCCAAGCAGGAACCATTCTTGATATATCAAGTCTTATTAGAGTCAAATTTTACTTATAAACTCTGTCAATCAATCACATCTCAAGTACTTTGAATATTTGAAAGCATTTTCAGCCACATCAAGTGTGCAAACACTAATGCTATGGTAATACTGACAGGTTTGGGAGGCCATGGTCACTGATCCTCAATAAATGCAACAAATAGTAAAGTTGTAATTGAAGTCGGGGAGTCATGGGAAACCAGGAGCTGAATTTAGGGAGAACCAGAAAGTGTTTACAGCAGTGCTTTCCAATCCAGGTACTTGTACTCTTGAGCCCTGCTGGTTTTCATAATCACCACAAATGAATTTAAATAACAGAAAACCAGCAGTACTCTTGAGGCCCAGCATTGAAAACCACTGGTAGATCAAACCAGAAACAGTTTTGGGTTATGACAGTAAAGTTTGCTGGCATCCTCTGAATGGATGAGCTCCATTCTTTGGCAGGGCAAATCTCCTCTTCTTTTCTTTCTGTCCATCCATCCAAATTTCATAGTACATGTAATTTGTCAACAGATGTCATTAATACTTCTTTAGTGTTCATTTTTTTCTCCACTCGTTTTCTTCTTGAACACTTAAAAAATCTCTGTTGGGGGAAATAGGGAGGGAAAAGGAGACACGAGTGCAGTCTTACAGTCTCTCAGGACTAAAATGAAGAGTTTTCAGTTTCTTTTAAATGTGTCCTCATTTAAGCGTTTGTCATTAATAACACCTTAATCGTTATTAAATGCGTAAGAGTTTTGCCATCGTCAGTGTTCGGACCACTGTGGTAACAGTTAGGTGATTGTTAATAGTTTGAAAAGGAAATATCATCTTCCCTTTGTAATAGGGGGGTCATGTCAGTCTATCAGCATCTTCCCCAAAACAAAAGGTCAAGTGAGCACCCTTTTGTCAAAGACGGTGGAGGTTTAGGGTTCAGGTAAGAGGTTTAGGTTACTTGCTTATTCATATGGGGATGTGTCAGCAGACATACTTCAGGGACATATTTCTGTGTGTGCGTGTGTGTAAGAGTGTGTGTGTGTAAAAGAGCAAGAGGTCATTCAAAGTGAGAGTTTGAGTTGAAGCTCAAGTGGTTCAGAGCGGTGTCTAGCTGTCCTTCTATCAATTCCCCCGTCCTCAGACCTTGGCTTCCAGCAGCTCCAGGAAGAGTTTGTGCATTGGGACTTTGCCGTCCTGCTTGATGCTGTAGAAGTGCTGCACAGCCTTGGTGGAGGTCTGACGGAGCAAGGGGAGGGTCATGAGCAGCTTGCCCGCCCGGCGGGGATCCTCCTGGTGCTGGGCAGCCTCGTAGTCCTGCAGGGCCTCGTGGAGCACATCTTGGAGCTTCTGCACTGCATCCACATCTTCAATGTGCATTGAGTCTGGAGAGAGAAGGAAAGGAAATACATGACTAAAATTCAAATGTGAATAAAAAAAAATTGATTTCCACATCCAATGTTGTCCACAGATCTAAATCTTGACATTACATTTATATTATTATATGCTTCATATACATCTTATATGCAACATATCAATAAAAGAAAAATAGGGGGTTATGGGTTGATTTTTTGGCATCAGACTCCTAGCGTGTAGTGAACTCTTCGACTGACTGAAATGCGTATTTTTCTGCGTTTCCAGCAATAGAGGCAGGCAAGTTTTTCAGTGTAGAAAGCTCTCACTGCTCTCTCAGATAATGTTTATAACAGTATGTGTCTTTGTCAGTCCCTTTCCCCACCTCTGTCTGTTGTGTTATTGCTCAGTGCTGCAAAGGGGACAGGTACTAAAGATTCAATCCAAAATCCAAACAGACTCAGTCAGTGCAGGGAGGCTGCTGAAAGCCACAACTCAAGGGTGGAAATTCCAAGTGAAATGTGATTGTGACGTGCAAAATACTTCTCTACATTTGCATCTGCACATATACCAGTGAAACCAGAGAATTATGCTAATAATCTACTATAATTATTATTATTAATATCATATTTTATATTCAACACCAGTAAATTATAACACTGCTTTGTAATGTAGTTTTCAAACCCACATTTTCTAGCTAAAGCTAAATCCGGGAATGGGGCTTTAAATTCAGGGGCTGTCTTTAAAGAGTGGATCTGTGGGTGTGATGAATGGACAGACAAAGAGATGAGTGGGCGGAGAAAAAAAGAGATAGACTTGTAGAATGATGGAGAGATGCAGGAACACCTGAGAGAGAGAGAGAGAGAGTGTGTGTGTGTGTGTGTGTGTGTGCAAGTATTTCGCTACACACATCTGTAATCTCTCTTTGAGCTGGCATGCAAGGTGTGTTTCAGCATATGTGGCAGTAGAGGCTGAGAATGTCCCTCAATGATAATGCTCCATATTGCCCCTTAGGGAGGCAAAGTCTTAATGTGAGCTGGCCTTTAGCTCCCAACCTCCGATCAATGTCTCCGATCAATGACTACATGCATGTTAAATAATAATCACAAGGCAACTATTGATAGGCCACTACACCATACACCTGATCTGCAAAGGAGATGAGACCTATGAGTGCACAGTATGTATACAGATTAATTTTTTAAAAATATTTCATAAATAAAAAGACAGACAGACAAACACACACACACACACACACACACACAAACTTCATGGAGCTTTCAAAAAAAACCTTTACATTTTACTATCTTCACTATATCTTTTGGGGGTGGTTGTGTATTTGATAGCAACATGTCAAACGACAGAGGTGTAAAGACTAAGCAGCACAAATTCCTCTGCGTTTGAAAGGTTGGATGTTTCTGTGGGAAAGTGCTGATGTGTCTGAGCGTTACTGTGTGTGTCTGTTGAATGGACCCGAGTGATTCAATTATAGAATATTAAATGTGATCCTATTTTGTGAGGGGTTATTGTCTGCCTTTTTGTCAGCCTTTATCATAGGATACTGACTTGTGATACATCCAATACTTTTCACAGTATACTTCTTTCACAAACACACGCTCACACCATCCAGATGCACAGAGGTTGAATACAAGCACATGTACATACTAACAAACTTCTGCAAAGAAAATGTGAACTTAGAAAAACAGAAATTTAATGGCAAGTAAAACATAAAAATTATTCTGCGCAGACAAAATAAATTCAACATAAAATGTTGTGAAAACAGAGACATACACATTGATGTACACACTTACACAGTGTTGGATCTATAGAGCGTAATGCATGTATCAGTATGCAGGTCCAGACTAGTCAGTGGGTTGGATTCTATACAGATCAATAGAAAACTCAGCTTCTATCGGTTCTCAAATGTTCTACTTTTTCCAGGTTTAAATAAGAGTGGGTGATCCACTCATCTGGATTTATTTTCATACTTTGCTGCTTAATGATGTTTTGCTCAGTGGAAAGCAGCATGGAGGGGGAAAACATATCTTAGTGAGTTGGATTATTATTTACATTTTTGTTCATACAAAAACCTAAAACACAATGTACATACAATATAAACTTCTGTTTTGCAGACCTCTGTTTTGCAAGTTGTTGTTGTTTTGCTCATATTTCTAAAATGTTCTTTCATTATTTTCAATGACAACATTTTCAGCACATATATATAATTAATATATATATATATATATATATATATATATATTTAACTGCCACTTATGCAATGTCTCCTGTTCAATGATATCTAATATAAACTTTGTACAGTGTTCACTATTCTCTATTACTCATAATAAACGTATTGAATGTACTAATAAATGAGTTTTACTGTCTATCACAATTAAAAAAAACTTTCTAACAGTCCGGCATATTTGAGAAAAAGAGTGTGTGTATTTGTGTGTGTGTGTGTTGGCGTATGTGTATTGATGGTGGCAGAATCCTCTTCTCCTCTTTATTTTTTGTTTGCTAATAAGTAATTACGTGATGCACAGCTTATAATGTCCATAAGTTAAAATTAAGTTTAATGAGTTTCACATTGTTTTTGATTAATCTTGTGTGTTTAGTATTTAGAATGGTAGACATGGCTGCTGCCTGTGCTGTGACCCGCAGTACACTCACAAGTAAAACAGCAGACGTTAATGAGCACGAGCACATAAGGCTGTTAAAACACACATGTTAACATAGAACTCACAATGCACACACGCACATAAATGAACGCACGGACGTACACACGTGCCTCCTGTTTCCCATGGCTAGTTTAGCTGTCTTTACATGTGGGGCACGTTTGCTAACATTTCTTAAGGCTGGGCTTCATTAATGCAGACGATTAGCATCCTGTGAATTAATTAGTGTCAATGCCCTTCAAAATGCTAATGCTAGCATTCTGTTGTCTTGAAGAGCAGTTAGAAAGTCTGGAGCAATGATGCAAAATTCTTTTTGGGTGTCAGCTGTTCTGATGTCAATCAGTTAAAAGGATGACTATTTCAAATGAGTTTTGTCAACAGTGGGGTCAGCTTCTGATAGATAATTACTCTCTGAATTTATCTGGATATTCTTTCAATTGAATGTGCTGGCAAGACATTTCATCTCCACAAAATGTTAGCAACTGCAATTTATAACTGCAGAATAAAATATATATATTCTAGTTTGACATTTAGTCAGTTAGTCATCTACCTTTCCAGCACATCATATGTCTTAAGCCTGACAGTAATATAATAATGTACAGCAACACCACCACTAACTGACCAGAGAGTTGGATCTAGAGCTTAAATGATTGAATGATGATGTTGTTTTATCAATTATTCAATCTACAGAAAATCAGCTGGCAACCATTTTGATAACTGATTAATTTTTTAAATTTTTTTCTCTGTTTTATATCTTTACAGAATAAACATCTTTGATTTTTATTTGTTGATCAGCCAAAACAAGCAATGTGAAGATGTCACATTGGTATTCTTTGGGCATTTTCAAGTATTTTCTGACATTTAATGGACCGTAAGATTTACTGATTAATCAAGAAAACACTTGTTAGTTGGCCCTTCTGACACAGTGACAACAATAACTGAACATCATCAATTACAATGTTGTTTTGGATTGCAATAGCTTATACAGGTGCACCTAATACATCTGTGTATGTTACTTTTAAATTTGCTTGTTCATTTATGCTTTTGAAATATGATGCACCAAAGTTTAAGCTACTCTTTCTCTCGCTACCGGACCTGCCAACCCGTCCAGGCCAATAGAAATCTTAGAAGTAACAAAGGCTAAGGTAACACCTTTTTGCCAAGTAACTCATCTAAATCATCATCATGATCATCAACACGGTTGTCCAGCCAGCAGAACCAGCCAGCAACACACACACACACACACACACACACACACACACACACACACATATAGGCAGAGCCAAGAGATTGATTGTCACACATAGCCCACAGGAAAACATGTCAATATTTTCTGCATGTGCATGACAGTATGTACTGTATGTGTGTGAACAAACATTTTTCAGTGCTTCACATTTAAGAACACGCTAATCTCATATGTTTGAGTGTGTGTATGTATATGTCAGAGAGATAAAAGGGGCGTACTTGAGAAAAAGCTTGAGTGTATTTGTGTGTGTTTGTGTGTGTTGGCAAATGTGCGTGTATGTTGATAGTGGCAGAATCGGAACAAAAGGCCCCTCCCTCCCTATTCAAAGCTCTCCCATTGCATTCTCCCATTTAAACACATTGTATTGACAGCTCCCCCCTTGTAATTAAAGAGTACTGAAGAGCTGGCCAGCTTCCAAGACAAAGTTCAAAAGACGGGTCATGGGAGGAAGAAGGCGCGTGTGTGTGTATGTGCGTCTGTGAGAAAGCGTGTGTGTGTGCGTGCGTGTCAGTCAGCTGTCGATGCAGCTGGACACATCAGAGAGGGGGCTTTATCGACAGACTTTGGGTTCTAATGATTTCACCTTATTTAACAGGCATCTGAAGAGACGACTATGCTAATTGTAAAAAGAATCGCCACTTTGTTTGGGTATGGGAGGTGGGCTTCAGGTTGAAGATGCGTGTGTGTTTGTATGGTGGTTTTGGTCTGACTGTGCGACTATAAGAGCATAACGAGAAAACTGTGTGTGGCTTTAACAGTAAAAGTGGGAAGTTTGACAACTTCGTGTGTGTGTTTGGATGTGGAGTATTGAAATCCGTCCTTTGATGGTTCAGTTTAAATAAGTCCCGTGAGACTGGAGATTGCCAGGGTTAAGTCTTTCTCCACCAGTCGTGTGTTCACAAACACACAGACAGAAACAGTTGCAGACAAAAACATCAGCTGAGAGTGAAGAATTTCAAACCTGAGTTAGCCAAAGCAATAGCCTTGAGAGTGACAAATTCCTCCTTCTCTAGTTTCATAGTTTTGTATTTCTTGACCAGCTGAAGGATTGCATTGTTCAGGTCAAGAAGTCCAGCTAGCTTCGACTGGTCCTCGTCCATTATGTAGTCCTCAGCATACACCAACTAAAGAGAAGCACAGAGAAGTGGAAAGGTTGCAAATAAACCTGTGTGTCTCTTTATTTCATTAGAGCGAGAAGCAAACACAAAGCCAAAGACACTAACCTTATCTTCAAAGGACAGTGAGCGGTAGACAACACGTAGGATCAAGATCTCCATCCATGCACTCTGCAGTAGACTCATCTGGTCTGCCAAAGACAGCGTAGAGAAACCTGAGGATGGTTGAGACAGAGAAGATAAGCAAGAAAGAGGATTGTTAATTTTAAAAACAGTTGAGAGACAAATTAATAAAATAAATTTAATTTACATCACACATCACAAAGAACAATCTGGCCTCTTTACTTCTCCAAACTTTTTTGGAGAATTGAATGAGAATGAAAACTGGCCTGACTGCATAACAAAACAAAATGTTTTAAATATATATTTGACCACAAAAGTTGTTAAAAACATTTTAATGTTTCCTTAGATGTACACAAGTACATTTTTTTTTTCAAGTTATAAGTATCTAAACATGCAAAATAATGAAATCTGCTTAGCCTTCACTCACACCACAGTCATGTTGATGGTCTTCCTCTAAGAAGGCTCCCCCCAAATGTTTCATTAGATTGATTCCTGACATGTCAAATATACAAATAAAATGAGCCAAAAAAGTATCCTGTTGCTGAGGGCAACGCCGTGCAGTAGAAGGATAAGCACTCTGTTACGCTGTATGTGGGAAAAACAGGAAATACATGCTGGCTTGTTCTTTTAAAGATGTGTTTTTTTAAAACACGTTATTTGAAATTGACAACTTCAAATAACATTTGTGATATAGATGCTGTTTGTAAAAAACAGCCATGCTGGTAAAGTAAATTAATTGACATTTAAAAGTAAAACTAAGGAGAAACAAAGGAAATGAAGACAAGCTAGTGCGAGGGTCAAGATCAGCTGTCCCCCTTCCCTCCCTGCCCACCCTCCATCCATCCAGCTGACCGGAGTCCTCCTCCTCCTCCTCCTCCTCCTCTCTCCCCTGTGCCCAGGGCTATTCTCTGGGGAAAGGCAGGCCTTATCTCCCCCTGACACAACCTCCATGGATCAATGTTGGCCATCGCTGCTGCACCGCTCAAACACACACACTAATTGCTGCTATGGCCTCAAAACTCCTGCTTTCTCCAGTGTCAATCCATGTCTTTCTATTTGCCTACGTCTATATCTGTCTGTCTCTCCAATCGCAATCCAGGCCTTTCTATCTGTAAGCGTCTGTCTACAACTGACCATCTGTGTGTCTGATTCGGCCTTCACATTTTTCCCATCCATCTTGATACATCTCTGTCTGTATGTCCTGTCTGTCTGGGTCTCTCTATTTTGTACATTTTTGCTCGCTGCCTTTTGATTGTTTGGTCTGTTTTAGACTGTTCTTTACATTTTATACTCAATGTCTCTGTTTTTTGTACTATCATTTTGTTTGCAATATTTTTGCTTTTTCATTTCATATATTTGGATTACATTCTTACTTAAATGCACTGTTGCTTGTTGTCTCTCACTGTCTGTCTTTCTATTTCTGTCTGTCTATCTCTTTAATGGAACACCTGCCCACTCACACCTTTCCTCACAGCTGTCCTCTCCTCACACACCTGTCCATTCACACCTGCCTGTCTGCCTATGTGTGCATTTTTGTGTGTGTGCAAGCCTTCATAGGAAAGGCAAAGACAGTGGCCCATGTGAGCACACCTGTCAGACCTCACTGCAGCCCTCCAATGTGTATGTGTGTGTGTGTGTGTTTGAGAGGAACATCCTGCCAGGAGAAGCAGGCAGATGAGAAGGAAGATATTTCTACAACAACATCTGCTGCAATGTGCCTCCTCGTGAGATGGTAGATGCGTGACAGTGTGTGCGCATTGGTCTGTTTATGTGTATGTGCATGTGTGTTTGGGGCTCTTATCTCACAGTGCGTTGATGGGTAATGGCAGGCGTCTCATTATGTCCAGGTTGCAGGCTATTGTTGTTTGTAATGTGCTCTAATTCATTCTATCTACAACTGTTAACATCTCCAACACACACACACACAGTATCACATATGCATAGACATAAATGCATAGAAACACACTGGAAGGAATCCAAAAGTGTATGATTGATACACCACACACACACACACACACACACACACACACGCACACAGACGCACAGCACAGTGAAGGGAGCAGTATCGTTGCCAACTGGCAGTGTCTTCTTCTACTTAATGAAATCATCAGAAGGGATTAGAGGTGAATTTCTTAAGGGGGTCTTCATTCACACAGACACACAGACACACACACACACACACACACACACACGTACATACACATACACATACACACATATCTCAGATGTCTTTAGGGGGTCTTTAAGACTTCACCACTCATCGTGGGCAGGGGAAATAAGCATGGGCATGACTAAATTTAACACACACTTATTGGATCTGTTCAAACCCCGGGGTCAAGTGAAGAGAAGAAAGCACGAGTGAGGGGTTAATATCATTTAATGGTGTCACTGGTTGTGTGTTTTAACTTGTCTCTGCGTGTGTGTTTCCAGCGCTCTGGAATTGGAAGCAGTGCGGAGGGTTCAATCAATTCAGACACATCCCTCTGGCGGAATTTGATCCAGGGCACACATGGCTCAAGAAGTGGGCGCACACACACACACACACACACACACACACACACACACACACACACACACACACACACACACACACACACACACACACACACACACACACACACACATTTCATGGACAGCACACACACATACACAATACACACACTTGCATATGTACATATTGTTCATGCAGGTATATAGTGTTTAGTGTATGTAGTGTTTTATAGTGTTAGATATAGAAACACGTTTGCTCTCTTATACAGGCAAACACACAGTTGTAGGTTTATGCATGTGCATGCAGACTAATAGAGGAACACAAACTGAAAATGCATACAGGCAGGAACACACACACACACACACACAACCATGCATACACAGTCATCCAGAACACATCTGCATGACTAGCTATATATTAATAATAGGGTTTGCACATACCTCCCATAAAACACATCTCCCTCCTAATTACACGCAACAAGCACACACATGCACAAACACACACACACACACACACAAAGGAAACACCAATAATTAAAACCCCTGTGATTAATTTATTGAGCTGGCTTTTCTTATTGAGGTACATCAGTGATTTTTATCAGGATGTGGTTTGTGTGTGTGTGTGTGTTTGTGTGTGTAAATGAGTGTGAAAGCAGTTTGTGTGCTTTTGTGAGTATATTTATGCTTATGTTGTGTATTTGGACCTAAAATACATAAATGTAGTGTGAGTGTGCTGGCTTGTTGTTTTATTAGCATGTTTGTATTTCTTATATATGCATACATTCCCATACATGTTTCTGTGAAACTCTGCCTGTGCGTCTCTATCTGTGTGTTTATGTGTGCGCCTCTCCGACCCCCTCCCCTCCCTACCCGCCTGTCTGCGCTGTTCAGCCATCCAATGCCTCTTATCTGTCTGATTAATAGGCGGCCAGCTTCAGGACAAATTAATTAACAGATAACGCCATCTCTCCCTTCTTCCCTTCCTCCCCTACCTCTCATGCAAGCGATCGATACAGCAGAAGAAAAGAAACATCAATGGGAATTTAGTGCTGATGATGGAGAGAGAGAGAGGTATTGATGGAGAGGGAAAGAGAGCACGAGAAAGAGTAAGATGGAGGAGAGAAGAAAGTAAAAGGTGGAGAAGTGTTAGAAGGAGAGATGGTGGTGGTGCTGGGAGGGGTGGAGACCTTTCTTTCATACCTGTGATTTCACTTGACAAAAGAAGGTTCCTTATTTGGCTCTAATTACGTTTCCTTTCTGCCCATTGTTGATAAGGCATCTCATGCTGTGTGTGGGAGTGTGTTTGTGTCTGTGTTTGTGTCTGTGTTTGTGTATGTGTGGATGCCGTTAACTCGTGTGCTGTTTGCTGTGGTGATGGTGGGCTGAGCTGAATGTACAGTAGTGTACAAGGAAATAAAGTTCAAAGCTTTGATAAACATAGTAACATAAATTTTAAAGAGGAGAAAATTGCTATAGGACATGACCTGCAAGTTGAGCCATGTGTTTTTTTTTTCTTTATCAGTGTTAACTAAACACCAAGTATGGTATACTGTATATTCTAAACATTTGGTGCAGGGAAGTCTTCATTCACTGTCTACGTGAAATGTCCAAACCCAAATATTTTCTAGCGTAATTCAAATGAGGCCAAGAGAGAGTCTCTGCAGCCTCTTATCATCTGTCTGTCACCGCTCCTCTTCTGTGCTCACCTTTTCTCTAATGTGACTATGTGGCCCTGAAACCATGTCCCCTAAAATTGACTGTCATGCACAACAAATTTGCAACAGACACTTTAAAGCAATGTAATGCTGCCTAGATACATCGTTTATTCACATAATGAGAAAACATTTAATGAACAAATCTACAGAGCAGCAAAATGTTCATGATGTCAGCTGGGATTGGGTCCAGCCCCCTGTGACCCCATACGCAGGATAATCGGTTGATGATGAATAAGTGAGTGAGTTAAGGTGGCTCAGGACACAAACCTGCTAATTTAGTAGCATAAAAACTTAATTTTTAGGAGACACTGTGGATATTAATTTTGTTTTTAATAAACACACTAGTGTACATAATGACTGAGATGAGGTAAGGAGTTCATGATGTCAAGTTAATGACATAATGATCTATTTGGTTGGATGTGTGTGTGTGTCCTGTTATTTGGGTGTGTCCGCTAAAACAGTTTGTAACTATGAAGGTGTGTGTAGGTGTGTGTGTGTGTGCATGTGCCATATATTGGTCTGACAGAAAGAGGCTGCAGCGCAGTCATGCAGACTTAACCTCTACTGCTTGCTCTCGCACTCTCTTTCTTTTTCGCTTCCCTTTGCTCTGTCAGGCACACACATAAAGACAAACACACACACAAACACACGTCGATTCCCCAGCCACCCTGCGGCCTGTTTGTCTGCCAAATGAGTCCTGACTGCACGTTTACACCCGAGACCGCACAACAGTCTGGCACAGACACACACATAGGATAGCCCTCTCTCATGCCCCAGTTGCTACACAGACACACGTGAACACACATATCCGGGAGGCCTATATTTGTTTTCTTGTGGTTACAGGGCAAATGGGAACCAGTGAGAGCCGATTGTGATGCTTATGAGTA